CTATGACCCAGCAATAGCACTGCTAGGAATTTACCCAAGGGATACAAAAATGCTGATGCATAGGAGCACACGTACCCCAATGTTCATAGCAGCACTCTCAACAATAGCTAAAACATGGAAAGAGGCTAAGTGTCCATCCACGGACGAATGGATCAAGAAGATGGGGTTTATCGGGGCGCCTGGGTGGCTTAGTCAGTTAAGCGTCCGACTTTTGCTTAGGTCATGATCTCACGGTTCATGGGTTCGAGCCCCGCGTCGGGCTCTGTGCTGACTGCCAGCTCAGAGCCTGGAGCCTGTTTCAGAGTCTGTGTCTCCCTCTCTCTCTGACCCTCCCCTGCTCACGCTATCTCTCTCTCTCTCTCTCTCTCTCTTAGAAATAAATAAAAATTTAAAAAAAGAAGATGGGGTTTATCTATACCATGGAATACTACATGGCAATGAGAAATAATGAAATCTGGCCATGTGTAGCAACATGGATGGACCTTGAGGGTGTTATGCTGAGCGAAATAAGTCAGGCAGAGAAGGACAAATATCATATGTTTGCACATATAGGAGGATTAGGAGGAACTTAACTGAGGAACATGGGGGAGAAGGGGGGAAATGGTGGGGGAAAGGGAGAGAGGCAAACCATGAGAGCCTCTTGAATGCTGACAAAAACTGAGGACTGATGGATGTGGGGGGGAGGGGGGATGGGCATGGAGGAGGGCACTTGTGGGGATGAGCACTGGGTGTTATGTGGAAACTAATTTGACAATAAACTATTTGTAAAAAAAAATTTAATTTAATTTAAAAAAAATAAAGACCAAGGAGAGAGAAATTGCAAAAAAAAAAAAAAAAAAAAAAATAGAACCTATCTTACAGGATTGTTAGAAGAAGTGGAAGCAAAACTACATGGAATCCTGGTTCAGAGACAGCATTCAATAGACAGTACGTGCTCATCACTGTTACTCAAATCTCCATCCTTCCTCACACAACAAAGGTGAAATCAGTCCTCTAAAAGTGCTCGGGGTATTGGAGTTAAGTACTGAAAATCTGAGTACTCTAGTTGTGATGAGAACTGGAAAAAGAAAGTCTACTTATAGAAAGCTCGCACATCATACAGTGTGCAAAGTCCTTCACCACAAAGCACCTGAATGATGAATAAATTACAACAGATATGCTTCTAAATCTATTTTTATTGTGAAGATAATAAGAAAACAAAGGAGCGTCCCTAGGACAACAGGAAAAAGAAAAAGAACATTTGTGTATGTGTAAAACATCCCTTTAAATTTATGTTTTTTCCATAACAGAATTACATGCTTACTGTTCCGTGCATAGGACCATCGCCTTTGACTCCAGGCACATCTGATTTTGAATCCTAGCAAACCAAGTACAATTTTAAGATTCCAAGCAAGTTAGTAAAACTCTCTGTGCTTCAATTTCTTCAGCTGTAAAGTGGGCTTACCACCACCTATTAAGATTGTTATAAGATAAATTCGTACTTATATATATACATATATACACATACATACATGTTTCACATAGCATATCACTTAGTATAGAAAATGCAGTCATTAAATAATTGCTATTATGAACACTGCAGGGGCAGGATATCCATTCATTCAACAAGTATTTATAGATTATAAAACATTCCTTTCAGACGAAGCATTTGGGTGGCTCAATTGGTTGAACATCCACCTTCAGCTCAGGGCATGATCTCATGGTTCATGAGTTTGAGCCCCACATGGGGTCTGTGCTGACAGCTCAGAGCCTGGAGCCTGCTTCCGATTCTGGGCCTCTCTCCCTCTCTGCCCCTCCCCTATTTACACTCTCTCAAAAATGAATAAACGTTAAAAGTTTTTTTTAAAAAATCCTTGTTATGATACTATCTGGAATGTTTGTTTTGTGCCATTTACTTATATAATCTTATAAAGTACTGTTCTCTCCATTTTCCAGATGAAGAAACTGAGAAATTAAGAGATGTGGTCCAATTCACATAGCTAATAATAAAGGAGGAATTAAAATTTGGGTGCTATATGACCTCCAAAGCCTGTATCTTAATCATCTTAACTCTCTGCTTCACATAGACCGGGAGACACATATTCCAGGTATATTCAGAAGATGCAGTTGGTAGACTTTATTTTCATTTGTTTTTTGGCCCCAAATCAGCAAACTCTAAAAACAGGGGGTTTCACAATCATATAGATATAACACAATATCACTAAACTGAATTTTCTGTTAAGTTCTTGATCTCTCAGTTTTTGTTCCTTCTTTAAAAGGGAAAGTAACATTTCAATTATGAGTAATGTCCACTGTGTATGGAATGGGTCCAAATGTCGTGGTTTCATATATAAATACATTTCTAGGTGCTGCAAAGCAATGGAAACTTTCTGCAAATTTAAACCTGGTTTACTTTTTGATTTCGAGAGGATCCTACTTATATAATGATCATTGGATGAGACTGAATAGGGAGGCAGATTTGATTCAAAGGAGGAAGCACTTTCTAAAATGTTTTTACACTACCCAGTTGCATTAGGGTGTGGTCACTCAATAAGTTAAGGCTACTTGTCAAAATATCAGAGCATTCTCAAATGGATACTATATATTATGGTAAAGAGAAACAATCTGACCTAGGAAGACAGTACTTTTCAGTTTTCAACCCTGAAAGCAAAAACTTTGAGTTCTTGTAAACCATACTAAGACAATATAACCGACCTACAAAAGTTATTGCTGTGTTCTACATATCATTTTATTATTACATTTTTAAGATTTTATTTTTAAAAATATCTTCTAGGGGTGCTTGGGTAGCTCAGTTGGTTAAGCGTCTAACTCTTGAGTTTGGTTCAGGTTATTACCTCACAGTCCTGGGACAGAGACCCACATCAGCTTCTGTGTGGAGCCTGCTTGGGATTGTCTCTCTGCCCCTCCCCTGTTCTCTCTCCCTCAAAAATAAATAAATAAACATTTAAAAAAAAAAAAAAAAGATTTTATTTTTAAGTAATCTCTACACTCAATGTGGTACTCGAAATTATAACCCTGAGATCAAGAGTCACTCCACTGACTGACCCATCCAGGAAACCCTACGTATCATTTTAAAAAGAAAAAAAAGGCCTGTTTCTTCTGTAAGCACAACTGCATTGTATGAAAGATTTATAGACTGCCACAATCCCATTCACTCCTAAGGAAGTCACTTCATCTTTTGCTCACCTAGCCAAGTTTGAAACTAAGCATGTGATTTTAAGTAAAATGATGATGTAAAGAACTTGGATTCTATTACCCTTAGACTGAAAACAGCTGATGACTAAGAAATTTGGTAGCTCAACTTAAAAATTAATTCATAAATAACTTCAAAACAGAGCAAATATATTTTCTTTAAAAAGGAAAATACTCAGGGTGCCTGGGTGGCTCAGTCAGCCACCACCGACTTTAGCTCAGGTCATGATCTCGCTTTGGTGGATTTGAGCCCTTGGACAGGCTCCCGAAGAGCCTACTTGGGATTCTCTTTCTCCGACCCTCCCTGCCTCCTGCTTTCTCTCCCTCTCAAGTACATAAAGTGGAAGGGGGGTCAGGGGGAAGGAAAACATTCTTCCATTCATTTTAGAGTGAATCACACCTAAATTTGGAAGAGATGATTTCAACAGTGTCCTCATTTTGCAGATGAGGAAATTGAGACAAAGCACTATAATTCAGTTACTTTTCTACCTATTTTTTTTTTCACATCACTGTTTCTGCCCTTATCTACCATGGCTATACGTTTGTAACTCACCATGCATCATGTGTATCTATCCTATGACTACTACAGCTTCAGGACAAGGACTAGACAGAGAAATTTTAAAACTCCAATACTTATCACATTCAAACCCTCATGACAGCTCTGCCTAATCAAAACGTATTAAAGTGAATAAAAGTATTTGTATTTCTGCCACCTAAATGAGGGTTTTGCCTCATAACTGGTCTACACACAAGACATTTCCGGTATTGTAAGAAAGGAAAACAAAAAAGGGGGGGGGTGTAAAAAAAAGTTTTACAAATCAAGAAAAAAAATCCCTGGTTTTCAGATAGTTTCAACCTCCCCTCGGATGAACGGAATGCCGTTAAAGAGAGAAGAGAAATAAGTGGGCTTGAAGAGATCATCTTTAGGATTCCCCCCAATACTAAGATTACATGAGAATTCAGAACTCAAAAAAGCACATTACTGATGGCTGAATTTAGCTATACAAAACGAGCAATAAGAGTTCCATTTCTTAATGTTAGGAACAGGTTTCCTTATGAGAGAGACTTTCACATTTAGACTGGAGGTCAAGCGTAGTTTTTTTTTTAATTTTTTTTTATAGTTAATTTATTTGAGACAGAGAGAAACAGAGCATGAGTGGGGGAGGGGCAGAGAGGGAGGGAGACACAGAATCTGAAACAGGCTCCAGGCTCTGAGCTGTCAGCACAGAGCCTGATGCGGGGCTCGAACCCACAACCCGTGAGATCTGACCTGAGCCGAAGTCGGACGCTTAACCGACTGAGCCACCCAGGCGCCCCAGGTCAAGCGTAGTTTTCAAAAGCGAAAACGGGAGCCCTCAGGATAGCCGGACCCAGGTTACTCAATAGCCAGGCTACCGGACTAAGACGAAGATGAACATCAGCCTCCCCCCCCCCCGCCCCCTCAATTTATTTCACGAGTCCTTCACGAGGTCTGCCGGAGCAGGAATTTAGCGAAGAAACTTAAACGTCAGGGTCTAGAAAATCGGTCTTGTTACTCCGCAGCTAGGCTTTTTGTGGCTGTTTTGTTTTTGAGTTATACCTATACTTCCGGAATTCCCTGATAAGCGACCTCCAGGGCACGCTCAGACCTCTGTGAGTCCTGCCCAAGGTCCTTTGGGGGAAGGGACAAAATGGGTAAAGGTGGGTGGCCAGGCTCAGGCGTCCGGGAAACTGCCGTCAGCCGGCTTCTTTAGCAGCCGAGAGACCGGGCACACGCCTCCTTCACCCGCGGCAACGCCCCCGCCGATTCTGCCCCGCGCGACACTCACCTGCGCCGTCTGCGGGCGCCTGGCTCCGGAAGGCGGCCGGCTCGGGCCGTCCCAGGTGTGGCGACGGCCTACTCCAGGGCCGAGGGGTCCCGGGCGGCAGGTAGGAGGGACTGGACTTCCGCCGGATGGCCACCCGCCTGAAGTTGTAGCCGCCGTCGTCGCTCATCGCGCGGGGGTCGCTCGCAGCTCCGCGCCCTCTCCCGCCCTCGTCCGTCCGCGAGCCTGCGCTCGACTTGCTCCTTCGGGGTGACCCGACCCCGGCGGGCGTCGCCTGCATGCCACTCTCGGCGCGACTCGAGACGGGCGACTGCGGGCTGCTCGGCGCCCCCTGCCGAGCGCGCCGCCTCCCCTGCGTCCCCGGGACGCTCGCGGCCGCGCCGAGAGTTCGGCTCCGGCTCCTCCCGCAGCCGCAACGCCTCGGTCTCTGCGGCTCCCGCACTCCCCTGACTCCGCTACCGCGGCGGCCCGCCGGGCTGCGTCCACCCAGTGGCCGGAGCCAATCGCCCGCAGGCCCGGGGGGCGGAGCGCAGGGAGAGTACGTCCCGGGGAAGCGGCCGAGGCCTCGCAGGGCAGACTGGAGCGGCCGCGGCGCGGTTCCCGAGCCGGCTTCCTCGGGACGGCCCCGCCCCGCCCGGCGCGCGACGGGCCCGCCCATTGGCCGCGAGGAGCCGCGCGCGCACACCTGGGGCGCTCAAGGGGCCAGCCGCGCTCACCTGCCCGCCGTGCGCCGGACTCCAGAAGGAGGAGGAGATTGGCAGCAGCTACTCTGAACTCTGCCCAGGGCGTCGCCATTCTATCATACCCGCATGCCTAGGGTCGCACAGACGTTCCAAGCCGCTGTGCTGAGTCCTTGATAAGAATCGTATTTATGGTCGAAGAGCTACCCAGTGACTTAAGTGTTTCAGATCAGGAGACCAAAGCGGAGCGTACACTGGGTCACATAGCGCTGCAGAACTGGAATGCCTACTCGAGTTTATGCATTAATGTCTTGTCCTTTTCTCACCGAATCAAAGTGTCTTATCAGAAGCGTCAGACCAGAGAAGATGAAGGGATGGGTGGAAGGAAAGGAAACGGTGCAGGTTTCCAGAAGAGCAGCAGACCCTCCATCACCATGAACACTCTTAGGACTTTATTAATAATACACTGAAGAGTCCATTCAATTGGTTGTTTTGTTTCACATCAGCTAAAGAGCAAATTTAAATACATGTTTAAATTGGTTTGTTCACGTGCATTTAAAAATTCACTCCTCGCTCTAATAATGAAGAGCCTGTGTTCCAAAATCACAGAGATAGGAGAGGAAAAAACATTCCAAGGACCCCAACTCAAGCTGAGAAGAGTTCCCCAGCCATGGTTTCCACCTTGGAAGCCACTCCACATTTATTCAAATGGTCCTTCACTCGCTTACCGTGCCCTCCAGCTCCCTGAAGTGTAGCCCATAACCCAGTCCTCCTCAAGAAACCTTTAAGGAGGGCAGTTCAGCTGTCTCAGTCTCCTTGGCTGCTACTTCTGTAAATATACCCCCTGAGAAGAAAATACCCCCTAATTTTTAAGTTTTCAGACCTTGTTGAAAGGAGGTTTTGCCCCTCTTGGATTTATCATCCGTATCACTACACTGCACCTAATTATTGTTTCTCTTGGGATGTAATCACACTGTTATCTACTGTGCCGTATGGTGCTGGGAATAATTTAAACAAGTAGTTTCAAATATAAATTAATACCGAAATAGGGTTTACTTCATATACATGAGTTAACCATAATTGAAATACAAATTTGTAACATAATGTATTTGGTTCCATAAAAAGGTAGTGCTGCAATCAATACAACTGTACTAGCAACCTAGCTCAGAGTAACCTATTTTGTTTAGGTGAGAAGATGCTGTCAATCTTCTTTTTTAGAGAACTGGTTACTGATGAACTCTCCTCCCCAACACACACACACACACACACACACACACACACACACACACGCTTTCTTTGCCGAAAGCTCACTCTTTCTGTAGAGAATTACAGTAAACACACCTGTTGGGGGCAAAAAGGTATCTTTGCACTGGTATTTGGGGCAGCAGTTTTATGCTTCCTTACATGGATATTTTGAGTTGTGTATACATATTTCTATTTCTTGGTTCAAAGCTGTTCACATCTGCCTAATAATACAATGTCAGTTCACATCAGTGGATGTCTGTATTTCACATGGAATGTTTTATAATGTATTTATCATCTGACATTACCTCTATCAGTGTTACTACTGCTTATTATTTTCTAATAGAAACCATTTCTTTTGTTTTTTTAATGTTTATTTATTTTTGAGACAGAGAGAGACAGAGCATGAGCAGGGGAGGGGCAGAGAGAGAGGGAGACACAGAATCTGAAATAGGCTCTGATCTGTGAGCATAGAGCCCGATGTAGGGATCGGACCCATGAACCATGAGATCATGACCTGAGCCAAAGTCGGATGCCCGACCCACTGAGCCACCCAGGCGCCCCGATAGAAACCATTTCTAAGGGGCTTTGCATTTGATAGCTAAGTTTTGCAACACGGAATGAGCGGGTCAAACAACTTCATTTGATCTCAAGTTATCCTAAGTAAGAGTAGAACAAAATATTGAACATCGTCCTGTACATAAAGTCTTTGTGTACTGTTTTATTGGTCTATATAGCTAATAGGAAGTTGGCCACTAATTAGCACATATCAAATGAGAACTGCACTGGATACTGACACACAGAGATGAGCACAGTTCACAGGTGCTTATACACCACAGCTCTGTGGCTGAGACAGTGCTGAATGCTAACTCTCTCCTGTCTCGTTTTCCCTGGGCGCACAAGGGGACTGATTTAAACCTCCTCTTGCAGTTAGGTGGAGCCATGTAACCACATTCTTCAAAGTTTTGTGTACAGAAGTGGTATGTGTCACCTCCAGTCCGGGCTTCTGCACGCTCACCAGGAGATTCTCTAGCCCTCTGCCAGCCGGAACGCAGAAGGGCCAGTGGAGGCTCGACGCCCACCAGGGTGGGGCTCCTGGAGAAAGCTGGCAGCCCAGAGTCACCTCTTTCCTAGGAATTAACATGTAAGGTCAGACTACAAAAATGCATAGGAAGACTCTAGACTAATTCATGTTCCTTAAATTTTATCTGTATTTCCCAATGTAGCAAAAATTTTGTGTTTATTGATAATATCTTTTAATTGTAATTTAAACATTTTAAACAAACATGTAATTTAATGTTAACAGTCTAATCAGTCTCCAACTGATCGAGTCCCTAATAAGTGAGATAAAGCCTAAAAAGAACACTCAGGAGAAAAATTATGAATCAAGAGGCTGCTTCCATGACTGATAGGACATAATTTCCAAAACGAGAATTTATGAGAAATCAATGCTTTGCAATGAATTCATTCTTATTTTTATCTCGCAAGAGATGGATAAAACCTCTCCACTCTAATAATAAATTGTGTTATTTCCTCAGTAAGTGAATTACAAATTTATTAGTCATTTACTTTGATCCTATCACTGGGTTGGAATTTATAGAAATGTCATTAAAGTAATAAAGGTCACTAAAAGGCATGAATCATGCTGACTTTATGTAGTAGCATTAGGGGGATGACATACAGAAAATAATTTTATGAAGACCTAATCGAAGAAGATAACACATTTATTTTAACAGGAAATTAGTAAACAGTATGATATACTGAGTTTATACTAGTGGAGATTTCAGTAGTTTCATATATGTATGAAATCGCATGTTAGAAATTATGCAATCATATATAAATAATTTCATATATATTATTGTTAATTAATTTTCATTAATTTAACTTTTACATCTGTATTTTGTCCAGGTATTACACAATTAATTTTTCCTTGGCAAGGAAAAATATATACACACCTCTTAGAAGATATGCAGAAATTCAAAGTGTCCTCTGAAGCTGTCATGGTACAAGTTTGGCTTTGTACTTCAATCGACCACTATTGCTCTTTGAAAGGAAGTGGCCAGCCTGTATCTCTTTAAACACTTGGAAACTAGAAAGAAAGCAGTTACTTTATAAAGTATACAGTCCCTGATTTCATGGAGCCCATAGTTCCATTAGATTAGGAGAGGGACACCCCGCTTGAACCTGGCCTACCAGAAATTTCCAAGAGGAAGTCAATGTTAAGGAAGAGTGGAAAGGTGAAGACACGGCCTAGTAGAGGGCTTAAAGGGCAATCCGTGACAAATGTTTTAAGGACCATTCTGTGAATCTTGCTGTGACATTTCTTTTATTTGTTCTGAAGAATTTGACAATTTCTCCTATTTCCAGTTGTATTGCTTTGTACGTGATAGAAAATTGTTTAGCTTACCTGAAGAACAAATACAGCTGTATTCGTTACCTATAAGTTACCTACTTATAGGTAACTCCTTAAGTCCCATAAACACTCTTATTATTTTGCAAGGAAACATGGAAATACAGTCATTCCTCCAACAAATATTTGCTAGTATCACATTTGCAGCCATTGCTCATGTCACTAATAGCGCATTTGCAGCCATTGTTCTGTTTCTGTACCTTTGTGTATAGACTCTAAGATTTTGTCTTGATTCTATTTTATGTGAAGTTTCCTTGGAAAAAATTTTAAATGCTTTTAAACCCACCACACGCAGGCCTACAATGCACAAACTCAATGATCATGAGATATCTAAGGTAGCCAAATTTTGGGGCACTTAGGTGGCTTAGTTGTTTAAGCATCCGACTCTTGGTTTCGGTTCAGGTCATGAGCTTACAGTTCATAAGTTCAGCCTCACATCAGGCTCTGTTCTGACAGTGTAGAGCCTGCTTGGGATTCTCTCTCTCCCTCTCTCTGCCCCTCCCCTGCTTGCTCTCTCTATATCAAAATAAATAAGTAAACTTAAAAAAAAAGCCAAATTCTTTTTTTTTTTTAAATAATATACTTATTTTTGAGAGAGAGAGAGAGAGAGACAGAGACAGAGCATGAGCATGAGCAGAGGAGGGGCAGAGGCAGAGAGGGAGTCACAGAATCTGAAACAGGCTCCAGGCTCTGAGCTGTCAGCACAGAGCCCGATGCAGGTCTCGAACGCACAAACCACGAGATCATGGCCTGTCAGAGTCAGATGCTTAACCAACTGAGCTACCCAGTTACCCCCAAAGTAGCCAAATTCTTAGAAGGTAGAATGGTGGTTGCTGGGGCTGCTGTTCAATGGGTACAGTTTTAGTTTTGCAAAAGGACAAAATTCTAGTGTCTGTGCATATAGTTAATACTACTATACTGTACACTTAAAATGGCTTAGATGGTAAATTTCATGTTATGTATTTTTACAAGTAACCCCCCCCCCAAGATCAAGTTTACACATGCACAATGATATATTTTATCAGGAGCTATCTAGCCTTAACAATCGTATGATGCCAGTGATTGTAAGATGCAAAGCAGTTTCAGAGATGTTAAAAAGAAAAAAAATGTGTCTTGAGATGGATGAAATATGATAAACATTCATTTGTGAGTATATACAT